AGGGGGGGGGGGGGGGAATTATTAAAAATATTTTGAGGTTATAAAATGGTGTGTATAATCTGGCAGAAGAGTACTTATATTTTTCTCCAGTAATCATTTTCTTTAAAAAAAAAAAATTCTATTGGTGTTATAGTTCAAAAGCAGCAGCTCAAAGCGTACTTAAATGTAATCCAAAGGACAGTGCTGTAAAATGTTTTCCTTTTACATCCCTGGCCAAAATGCAGGTACCATCTTCTTTATGAAATATTGGTCTTATTATCTAGTAGTGCACAAGAGAAAGAAAAGAGATAAAGTGCTTATCATCACCGCTGCACCATTTTATGTATAATCTGATTGTTAAATGTGCTGGATTGACCCTAAACTCTACATTAAAACCTCCAAATTGCAAGGCATCAGAACTGTCCACATGCCTGACAAACATTATCTATTTATTTAAAAGAGTTATATGCCCATCCAACTTATCTACCATAACCTTGGGCAGGTCACAGAAACAGCAATAAAAGCATAAAGAGACACTAAAACCAGATCAAACACTCTTAGCACCTCAAAAACAAACACTTCTATACAGCAAGATTTAGATTTACTGGGCTCCAGCCTCACTCTAATCCAGTGTTGTCCAAACTTGGCCACTTTAAGATGAGTGGACTTCAACTCCCAGAATTCCCCAGCCAGCCATGCTCTAACTGTTCTAACCCAATGCTTGGGGGAAGAGCCATCTCTTCAATACCTTCCAGAAGGCTAGAAGGGCAGCCAGATCTTAGGGGGGAAGATGTTCGACAGGGCAGGGGCTGCTATGGAGAAAGATCCTTCCTAGGTTCCACCAGATGGCAACATTTAAGGGAAGGGACCTGGAGCATGCCTACCCTATTTGACTTAGCGGAATGGAGAGATCCTCTCAGGGAGATTCAGTCTGGCAAATAACCTGGCCCCATGCCATACAGGGCTTTAGAGGTGATAAACCAGCTCCTTTAATTGCAGCAGGAAAGAAAGCAGAAGCCAGTGGAGCTCACACAGCAGCAATGTAATAGGGGCAAACCATGGGGTACCAAGAATGAACAATGAAGCATTTATCTTTGCTTGGACTCAAACGTGGGCTACCTCCCTAAAGGGCTTAACCAATCAGGAGGGGCACAAGTCTAGAACACAGGTGCCAGGCTCACTGCCCCAAGGACCGTGTCCACTTCCTCAGGATCAGCTGATTCAAAGTCTTCCCAGATAACTGGATTCAAACATGCCCCGTCACTTCCATAAGACCTGCTCAATTAATGTCCAACTCTGAGCAAAGTTGAGTGACTTTATCTGACATATGTGAAGAATATTCCTTATAGCAGTCTTGGCTTCTTCCAGTTCCCCCTTACCCAGAAGGGACCTGGTACCCTCAGGATATCTGAGAGACCACCTATCTCCAACTATTTCTGCCCACCCAGTATGTTCCAGCAGAGTGGGTGTGCTCCAGGTCCCCTCCATTAAACATTGCCATCCTGTGGGACCTTGGAAGCATGCCTTCTCTGTGCAGCCTCCACTCTCTGGAATAGCATCCCCCCAGAGATAAGGATGGCACCCTCTCTCCTAGGATTCCAGAAAGCTTTGAAAACCCGGCTTTGGTCCCAGGCCTGGGCTTGATGTTTATTATTTGTTCAGTGGTCTCTGTTTTATTTGTTGTTTTTGCTGTCCATTGGATTACTTTAGTCTGGGTTGTCTGCGTGATTCTATGTTTTTATCTGTTTTTATATTTTCCCTAGTTGTATATGCCACCCAGAGTCCATTGCAGTTGGGCAGCCAATAAATTGAAATAAAACAAATAAAACAAACAAACAAAGAAATAGGGCTGCCAGCCGGCTATCTGCAGATGCAGTCAGAGTGGAGAATTAAACCAATGAGCTCTAAGGAATCCACAATGACAGAATGTCCACCCAGGTGTGATCTGATCCAGGGCCTTTGCAGCATGTTCATGCCAAGTCACAACCAAGGCCTTGACCAAACCATGCAGCACAACTTCAGGAAAAAAAACAAGTTCCCTTTGAAGCCCATTGGGGTCCATCAGTCACATGGGGTGGGCTGACTGAACAGACCCCATCTCCCTGTAATGGGGAGAAGTCATGGAGAACTCCAGAGCCAAGAAAACATGTTCTGTCCATGGCAAGGGACTGTGTTAATTTTCCCCAACCTCAGATCACAATGCACTGCCCTGAGACAAAAATCAGATCTAATGTGTGACTTCCACTGTGGTTGGGGCCCTTAATAAGTTGGATCAGATCCATGGTTGCCTTAACGGCCATGAACACCTAAACCACCACTGACTTTGGGCTGAAAGAAAGCAGATTGAAGTCCCCCAGGACTTCACTGACAACTTGGCCACAGGTCTAGGAGCTTGGGCAGGAATGCTTCTGCACTGCAGGGAGGAAGGTAAAAAAGCAGCAGTCCCAGCTGATCCTACACCCTAACCTCACAACATGGTCCCATATCTGGCTATATCTGCAGCAGTGCCTCTAAACGCAACAACAGGCAATCCTCGACTTATGACAATAGGGATTGGAAAATTGGTCATTAAGCAGTGTGGTTGTTAAGTGAGGCATCACATGACTGCACCTGATTTTACAACCTTTTTTGCTGTGGTCGTTAAGTGAGACATCATGCAACCGTGACTTGTGGCCTTCCCCGCTGGCTTCCCCACTGACTTTTCTTGTGGGAAGCCAGCTGGGAATGCCACAAATGGTAATCACATGACTGCAGGACGCTGCAACCATTGTAAATGTGCAACGGTGCCAAGCGCCGAACCATGATCATGTGACCGCGGGGACGCTGCAAGTCATAAGTGTGAGGACTGGTCATAGATCACTATTTTCAGTGCTGTTGTAATTTCGGTCGCTAAACAAATGGTCATAAGTCAAAGACTACCTGTAAAGATTCCTAAAATAGCCACTCCCCCACCCCTGCCCTGAAGTTGCACCTGAAACACATTTAAATGAAACATTTCTGAGAAAAGAACCCTTCTCTCTCTGCCTAACCAGGTTTTGGTGATCCAAGGTTGGCCCTCTCATCCACCACCAAATCCCACTCCACTCTATTTCTACCTTCCATTTTGGTACCCCCATTTCAGTGGGGGGAAATGCTGACAGCACAGGGAACAGGAACCAGCACTGGATCTGCCTGGATGTGATCGGTGGAGAAAGAAAAATTCCCGGATGAGCCAACCTCCCTAGGAATGCTGCTGGCCAGCTGGCGCAAAGCTAGCTCGCCTTCTTGTGGTACACCAGTGCAACAAAAGAACTAGCAATTGTGGCACCAGAACATCTACCGTGTGTAAAAAACATTGTAGACTCCCTGGCATTGCATGCCATACACTCAATCAATCAATCAATCAATCTACCCTCCAGCCACCCTGCTCTTACCTGGGCCACAAGGGGAGCATCACATCTACAAAGTTGATGGAAAAGTGGGCTCAAATGAATGTGGTTCCATCCAGTTGTCATAATGTCCATTTTAATCAATTTAGTCTCTATTTAGATATGATGTTTCATTATAAATAGTACAGGGATACAGGCAAATTGCACAATCATACATGTTGAAAATCTGGTTTGTTCAAAGCCATAGAATGGTCAATCCATCCTCCATAGCTTCAGGAAAAAACCTGCAAGCAGCTGGGTCTTTGCTTTATCCTAAATATGCAACATAGGTATGCCTTTCAAAAAAGATAGATGTAAATATTTCCAAGAGTGTCTAATTTTTTATCTGTACATTTGAAAATTAATCACTCTGTTTTCATGATATTGAAATCATCCATTTAAAGAAGCAATCCTACACATATTTTCCTAGAAGGAAGGGTTCAGAAGAACTAACTTCTGAGTAGATATTTATAGAATGGGGAGTATAATTGGTGGTAATTGATTATTCCCAAGTACTAATGCTACAGCCTTTCTTTATGGTATTTGGAAAGGATAATGCTGTCTCCCAGAAATATAACCCCAAGTGTACTTTCAGAGGTCAGGAAAAATTTGGGCAGGAGGAACACTGGATTTTACTAAAACATTTTAAGTACAAGAACACACATTTGCATATGTATCTTAAAACTAGCACCTCATTATTCTAACTATAAATGAAATCAGCAATATGGTACTAAAACAAATTAGTTAACATACTATGCATGTTAATAATGCTTTAGAATCAGAAGGGATGATTTCCCAAAGACAGTGTAAAAACAAAAAGGTGATAACTGACTCTAAATTTTATTGAGTGAAATATTTATTTAAAGTAACAATAATATATAAGTAGTGGGGAATTATAATTCACTAATCTGCATTTTAACCTTCATTTGCAATTCACAAGGAAGTAAACAACAAAAAAACCCACAACCAATATTTGCAGTGCAATTTTCAGCTTGTTCTAATTTTTTAAAAAAATATTATGTCGGCTGAAGAATAATACCAATTTCAGATTTGCCAAGCCAACAATCAACAAATGAACAGAATTCAAAATGGGAAACAAAATGTAGGCATTTTAGTAATTGGAAAAAATAATTGTGATAATTAAGTTACATTATTAAGCACTGTTAACAGTATCATTATTACATGGCATTTCAAATCCATCATTTAGAGCACAGGTTCTTAACCATTTTCAAGTCAAAATCTTTCAGTCAGCAGATTTTCTTAATTCTTTTTTAAACTTTGAGAAATGTCCTAGTCAATCTTCTTCAAAACTATTATTGATAACTGAATCCAACTTGTTTGGAAAAGCATTCACAGTAGACCTGGAGTTAGGAACTATGGCTGGAATCCAATAGTATACTTCCATCAATCAAAGTGGATTCATGGTTACAGAAAAATTTCCCCACTCCCCTGATATTAAGGTTATGAGAGGGAGATTCAGAAGAGACAGGAAAATCCTGGTGCCTTAACACTGGATTCTACCACAAGCTTTGTTTTGTTTCGCTTTGAACATGGCTATATTAAAGATAATACACAGAATACATGTGTAACATGAACTGCAATTTGAACATGAATACATTTCTTTGCTTCTGGGCTTCTTTTTTTGACAGACAGTTTAACCCAATGCAGAAACAGTCTGTAGTACACAACAACTACTATACTCCTACCAGCTTTCAATGAGAGTCCCCCCCCCCAATGAAAGGTGTCTTAATCCAATCACATACTGATTCAGCAAATTTAAACAAGGACAATATTTATTTTATTTATATAGGAAAAAGAATATCAGAAGGCATTCCATGGTCTTATAATTACCACTCCCATGGGTATGTAGAAACAGACACCAAATATACCTGTCAGCGAGAACAACGTTGGGGTCAGTGCTACAGGCAATTTCCCTTTACTCATTCAAAGGACTGTTTTAGCCATGCCTGCTCGGGCCACTTCTTGCATTGCAAATGCTGAATTAGAGCACAGCCAAGTTTCACTGCCTATTACACAAAAAATTATAGGATTGGCAGGAGAAAGTACTAGTGGGAAAGAAAGAAGAACTGTATCTACAGGGCACATTGGGGATATCATGGGAGCAGGAAGAAAGGGCTGAAAGTGGTGGGAGGGCTTGTGGGATGGATCCTTTGGATCCCAGTCACTAACTCTAATTCACAAAGAATGTCTCTTGCCATAGATATGGCAACATGAATATGACTGATGCAAGTAAATAAATTTTCTTCTTGCATAACCTTGATTGTTAGAAAGCATATCTAGACAGCAGCAGTAATAAAAGCATTCAACCTTGGTTGTTGTTTTTTTTTAATGTTTTTAGGCACTAGATATTGAGGCACAAGGATAGACTGATACCCTGTCTTCCATTTTGGTGGTTATGAATCAGGGTGGGGAACCTGTGGTTCTCTAATGCTGTTGAACTATCATTCCTAACAATCCCACTCATCATGACCAATGGTGAAGAATGCTGGGAATTGTAGTTCAGCAACATCAAAGAATCATAGGTTTCCAAACTCCGTGGAATATTATAGTTTAACTGGTTATGTGTCTGTGAAGTGAACTTCTGTACAACATGCACATCATATTTTCTTATCAAAGATAATAAAATTAGAACAGCCTTGCTATATAAAGAAATAAATTATCCAATATATCTTCTAGTAGGAAGAAAACAGGAAAAAAACAACTTTAGTTAAAATATTTTACAATAAAATAATTACGGTTATAAATCTCTTTAGTCAAATATGTACATATTACATGGTATTTAAAAAAAAATGAACTGGTTAAAGTTTTCAAGCAAATCAACTGCACAAGTCCACCAACTTGCCAGTTTAAAACCATAATGTCAGTTTAACATTCAGAAATGGTAATATGTCAGACTAATTGCAAAGTTCTGTGCAAACTGTAAGCAAAGTTTTAAAAAACTGCAAAAAATTCTTCAGCTTCCATGGTAAATTGCTAAAAAAGTTGCTTGTATACATGTTGATTGCAGAAAGAGGTTAGAATGACCAGCACTAATTTAACCCCCATATCTACAAAACAGATAAAATTCCTTCAGTTGCTGACTTCTTTTAACAACAGATTGTAAGTCTTAACAAACTGTGCTTTTTAGGCAGCCACATGGCCTATAAGGTAGATATTGTCATATAGATGCCCAACAAAATCTTCGCTAATGTTCTGAGCAGCACGACGCGTGTTTCGGATAAATTCTCTCTTTGACATTTTATTCTTCACATGAGGGCTAGTAAGATCAATGGAAAGCAGGATCAAAGAGTAACATAATACGTAAACAGCATCTAAGGAAAAGAAAAAAGGAGAAAATATTTTGTGAAGCCTGCTTACAATTTAAGGAACCTGCACAACATTTTACACTAAAAGATTTTAGATTCTTCAGGACAGGACTCTAGAAATCCATGTTTTTTATTTGTAAAATAAAAAAAAAAGTATGAGAGCAAAAGAATTGCATTACAGGATCATGTTAAAAAAATATAAATTTTAGACATTTTTCCTTGAGAAAGTCACATTTAGGATGTAAATGTATATTGTGTCAAAGATTCTATCATCTCTCCATCTCTCTCTCTCTGTCTTCCCTTTTTGTAGCAATACGGACACTGACTCAATTTTTTCTTGTTTTTAATAAGTATCTGACTATCTGATCTAAGTATCTGAAGTACAGGTCATAAAATACAGGTAGTCCCTGGGTTAAGAACGCCCAGTTTAAGGAAGACCCATAGTTAAGAATGGAGCCTATTGTAGCAAAATTTGAGTTAATTACACAATGATTCATGTTAAATACACAATGGTTCAAGTTAATTACACAATACTACTTATACAAACTCACAGAATAATACTGTTCTGGATTACATACAACTTTGACTTAAGGACAGACATTGGAAATGGAACTCGTACTTAAACTGGAGGCTACTTGTAATTGTATTGTCGAAGGCTTTCACAGCCGGCATACGATGGCTCGTGTGGTTCTTCCGGGCTGTGTGGCCGTGTTCTGGAAGTTTTGTTTCCAGGAAACAAAACTTCCAG